CCTGCATAACTGCCCAGTGAACATCTCTGCATGGTATGTCCTTGGCATTTCAAACTCACCTAGTCTGCACATGAGCTCCTAATGTCCACAGCTCTGAGCAATCTGTGCTGTCTTCTCGTGGACTCTCATAACAAATGGAAACTCTTATATTAAGCAATAACTACACTAAACTGGGGAAGCCATTCCTGACTCCTTTCTTATTGTCACACCCCCTGTCCAGCTCATCAATATATCCCACCCATTTCTCAACACCTCCAATGCCACTCCCCTAGTCTAAGCCATTATCATCTCTAGTCTGAATCACTGCCACAATCCCCGCTGATGCTCCTTATTGGGCCCATAGTCTCTCCTCCCCCTTAAGTCTACAGTAGAGAGTGAGCTTACTAAAATAAAGGATTAGGCCACCGCTTCAATCAAAGCCCTGCAAGGACTCCTTCCCAATCACACTCAGAAAAAGCCCAAGTGCTTACAGAAACTATTAAGGCCTAATAAAATCTGCACCTACCACCCTTCGTCATCATATCTCTGATTTCATCCCCTACTATTCTCCGTACTTACTCTGGTCCAGCCTTGCACAATGTCCTCATGCAACATCCTCAATAGGTTCTGCAATTTTATCAGGCTAATTGATATAAATAAGAATTAAGTTCCTATAGCCTCAACTTTATAACGAAATGACACTATTCAAGGATCTGCTGTACCAGCCTCTGGCCGTGCTCAGCCTCAGGCCCTCCAAGCAAACAGCCTCCAGGCCTGGAGCTCCTGTGCCTGCTCTGCTTTTCACCCACATCTCATGCTGGCTTAGCCCCTCTGAAGCCTTTACTCAAAAGTCACTTTCTCAGTCAGGCTTTCCTGGCCCTCCTGCCTATAGCTGCAATACCGCAAACAGCTATTCCCCCTTCTTGCCTTTTCCCTTTGTTTTCACCACTATATCACATACCATATATTTTATTTATCTGTATTATTTATAATCTTTCTCCTGACACTGGAATATTGAGTTCCAAGAGGGCAAGAACATTTACCTGTTTTGTTCATTGCTTTATCTGCAGTGCCTAAAAGCAGTGCTTGACAAATCAGAGTTGTGAACAGATGAATGAAACACCGATTACATGGCTCAAAAGGGTCACATGATAGTGACTCTCTGCAAAAACTTTCCTTGACCTGTTTTAACTCAGATTGTCTACCTGCTGTTTATAATAATCCCTTTATAAAAATTATACAAATGAATTCGAAAACTATATGTATAGCTATGCTCAAAAAAATGTTTAAATTATGGTAAAATATATATAACATAACATTTACCATCTTAACCATGTTAAAGCACTCAGGTCAGTGGCATTAAGTACATTCACACCATCGTACAACCATTGCCATCATCCATTCACAAAACTCTCTCCAACTTATAAAACTGAAACTCTGTCCCCATTAAACACTAGCCCCCCACTCTCCTCTCCCCACAGACCTGACAACCACCTTCTACTTCCTGTCTCTATGAATCTGACTGCTCAGATACTTAACATCTCCCCCTAACTTGACAAAGCCACCTGGTCTCCCAACCTACCATGAACCCCTCTTTCTTCATGGCAGTCCCACACTGGCTGATCTTGGTGCTGCCCTCAGTGGCTTCCACTTTCTTCCAAGCATCAAGTCGGAATCTTTCCATCACTTTTATTTCTTCCCGAAGATCCATGTTCTCTTTGACCAGGACTTCTATCTGGCTTCTAAGACGGCCATGTGTACTTGACCATTTGGCTTCCTTTCTTTTCAAATCTTCCTGTAAATCTGCTATCTGCTGTTTCAAAGCCTGCTCCTCCCCCCCAAAAAGAATTACTAGAATTAAAATAATGTAATAGAAGAGTATAGCTAGTGTAGCAGAGAGAACAGAAAAGGGAAGGCTCAATCAATCACATTCCAATAATACTGGAATTTTCAGGAAAGGGAATGGGTCAGGCTAAAGCCTCACTTCATACCATCAACAAAATTAATTCCAGGAAACAGGGCAGGTAGGAGGGAGCCACCACTTAGGAGTTTACTGCAATAATATGGCCATGAGATAATGAAGGTCTAAATTAAGATATTCATTGAAATAGAAGAGATAAATGGGGAATATCTGGTGAAGAAAAAAATTAATAGGAATTAATTACTAACTGAAGGGAGAAGAGCTGAGGTAAAGGGAAGAATAAAAGATTCAAAGTCAGAACTACTAGCCCTGAAAACTGATTCTATTGGGAATTTATAAAAAATAGGTTTTAAGAAAATGAGTTGTTTTAGATGGACCAGATGACATAAGTCAAGAAACTCCTGGAAATGTCTAGAAGTAATCGCTGACTGCACAAAGAGAATAAAGATCAATGTCAGAACTAAGGAGAAATAGTTAGCTGGCTACACAGCCTATGTAGGTGCAAGTCAGGGGGAGTGACTGGAAGCTGAGGAAAGGAATACAGACAGAAGCTAGAAGCATTCCCCACCACCCACCAGAGAACCAATTCAAATATGAGACTGAAGGTAGTGAGACTCCTAACCACATCATTAACACACACAGATAACCTGACATCCACCCATGTTCATGTAAACCTCAAAACAGCCAACAAAGTGCTGCTCCAGTGAACATTATGAATAGTAAGAAAGTGAAACAGCCTTACTGCTGACATAAAAAAAGTTACAGTAGTCTGGATAGAAGATCAAACCAGCCACAACATTCCCTCAAGCCAGAGCCTAATCCAAAGCAAGACTCTACATCTTCAATTCTGTGAAGGCTGAGAAAGGTGTGGATGCTGCAGAAGAAAAGTTTAAAGCTAGCAGAGGTTGGTTCATAAGGTTTAAGGAAAGAAGTGGTCTCCATAAAAGTGCAAGGTGAAGCAGCAAGTGATCCAGAAGATCTAGCCAAGATGATTTATGAAGGTGGCTACATCAACAACAGATTTTCAATGTAGACAAAACAGCCTTATATTGGAAAGAGATGCCATCTAGGACCTTCATAGCTAGAGAGAAGTCAATGCCTGGCTTCAAAACTTCCAAGTACAGGCTGACTCTCTTGTTAAGAGCTAATGCAGCTGGTGAGTTTAATTTGAAGCCAATGCATTCTTACCATTCTGACAACTCTAGGGCCCTTAAGAATTATACTAAATCTACTCTGCCTGTGCTCTATAAATAAAGCCTGGATGACAGACCATTGTTTACTATATTGTTTACTAAATGTTGTAAGTATATTGTCAGAACCTGCTCAGGAAAAAAAGTTTCCCATTACTGCTCACTGACAATACACCTGATTACCCAAGAGCTCTGGTGGAGAGGTACAAAGGGGTTAATGTTGTTTTCATGCTTGCTAACACAGCATCCATTCTGCAGCCCATGGATCAAAGGTAATTTTGACTTTCAAGCCTTACTAATTAAGAAATACATTTCATAAGGCTATAGCTGCCATAGGCAGTGATTCCCCTGATGGATGTGAGCAAACAAAACTGAAAACCTCTGGAAAGGATTCACTTTTCTTGATGCCATCAAGAACATTTATGATTCATAGGAAGAGGTCAACATATTGGGTTGGCCAAAAAGTCTGTTTAGTTTTTTTCCATAAAATAAAAGACATATTTTTCATTTTCATCAATAACTTTATTGATTTCAGTATTGATTTGGAGTATGTCGGCTATCTCCCGCTATTGACTTCTAGTGGGTAGAGGCTAGGAGTGCTGCTAAACATCTTCCAATGCATAAGACAGCCACATAGCAAAGAATGATTTGGTTAAAATATCGATAGTACCAAGAAACTTCACAAACCACTTTTTACATGTTCAATCAGTCACAGCACCTTCAACATCCACTGCACAAATCTTTTTTTGCATTTCAGTTCATTTTTACCTTTCTTGAAATTATAAAGCATAACATGCCGAAAATGTTGCATATTTTCTTCATCTTCAATATTAAAATGGCTGCACAAAAATTCACCAATTTTGATCATTTTTTTTAAATGCATGCAGATATGACAACTATCACAATGCAATCTAACAAAACTGTTTCAAATTAAGTTAAAGACAACTAAGCACTACTAAAATCACTGTACAGAAAAAACTAAATGAAGTTTTTGGCCAACCCAATATTAACATTAACAGGAGTTTGGAAGTTGATTCCAACCCTCAGGGATGACTGAGGGGTTCTAGACTTCAGTGGAGAAAGTTACCTTCAGCTGTAATAGAAATAACAAGAAAACTAGAATTAGAAGTGTAGTCTGAAAATGTAACTGAATTGCTGCATTCTCATGCTAAAACTTGAACTGGTGAGGACTTGCTCCTTATGCATGAGCAAAGAGAGTGGTTTCTTGAGATGGAATCTACTCTTGGTGAAGAAGCTGTGAAGATGTGAGAATGACAACAAAGGATTTAGAATATTACATTAACTTAATTGATAAAACAGTGGCGGGGTTTGAGAGAACTGACTCCAACAATGAAAAAAGTTCTACTGAGGGTAAAATGCTACCAAACCATCACTTGCTACAGAGAAATCATTCGTGAAAAGAGTCAATTGACAGAGCAAACTTCATTGTTATCTCATTTTAAGAAATTGCCACGCCCACCCCAACCTTCAGCAACCTTGTTGGAGTCAGATCTCTCAAACCCTGCCACTGTTTTATCAATTAAGTTAATGAAATATTCTAAATCCTTTGTTGTCATTCTCACATCTTCACAGCAGCCATCAATATCAAGGCAAGATCCACACCAGCAAAAAGATAATGACTCAATGAAGGCTGGCTGGCATTTTTTAGCAATGAAGTATTTTCTATAAGTTATGTATTTTGTTTTCTTAGACATAATGCTATTATTGCACACTTAAAAGACTACAGTACAGTGAAAACATAACTTTTATATGCAATGGAAAACCAAAATATTCATGGGACTGCCTTTATTGAGGTGGTCTAAAACTGAACCCACATTATCTCTATACCTGTACCATCTCTTTAATTAATCTTTTAACGATTTAATAAGTGGAAGTGGGCTGAGACCAAGATGGCATGGAAACTTGCTGCCTTCCTCAAGAATGTCTGGGTTAGGGAGCCAATGCTGGTCATGTCCATTACCACCAAGGGCCTTGCTATTATTCTGTCCCCCTTCAGTCCCTACACCAAGTACACCACCATGATCAACCAAGTGACGCCCTACATCTACCCAGTGCCTCTCCGAGATGATGGGAATAAGCCCGTCATGCCCAGCCACCCCTAGGATCCCAAGGGCCCAAGTGTGGAGCGGCTGAAGAAACTGAACAGCTCCACTACAGGAATGAGGTCCCCTTTTCTGTGGCCCATTCCAATATAAACGTGAAAGCCAAAAAAGAAAAGTGGAAGAATATCAATAAATAGTTTTCAATTAAGTGTATACCTGTTTTTAAAGTATGTATTTGCATAGTAGAGGTAGAAAAAAAAAGAGTAAATATACTCAATAGGAAAATATGAAAAGCCATTAGTTTAAGAAAAAGAAGGTACTAGACCAAGAACAGAAACAAATAATGAACATCCATGGCTACACACAATATACTGTCTTTTTTTTTCTTGTACATGAATGATTATAATAGGCTTATTCCTAATAGCCCAACCTGAGAATACATCAAACAGCCATTAATTAGTAAAGTAATTAAAAAAAATTTTTATAACCATACATTGAAATATTATGCAGCAATATAAGTAAAAAAATTAATGACATGAAAAAACATAATCAACATTCATTACATTGATCATGATCAACACTTTACATTAAGTGAAAGAAGCTAGAAATAAGGCTACATACCATATGATTCCATTTCTGAGACAGTCTGGGAAATGCAAACCTATAGTGATAGAAGCAGATCTGCCTAGACTGCCAAGGTCTAGAGGGGTGAGTGTAAGAAAAATGACTTCAAAGGTGCATAAGAAAACTTTTTTTGAGTAACGAAAATATTCTTTAGCTTGACTGCAGTGTTGCTTACTTAACTATATATTTGTCAAGCCTCATCAAACTACACATTTTAAAAGAACAAATTTCACTGTATGTAAATTATACCTCAATAAGCCTCATTTAAAAATGTTATAAAATATTTCAGAACTGGAGAGAGATGACACTAGGATGTTTAAGTACCACCACGTTGGCAAAAACAACATGTGATAAGTCTACTTAATAGGCACACTGAGATTTAAAAACTCTTTTTAGACAAACACCTGAGCACCTTTCTCTCTGTAGAAAACTAAAAATATAATACCAATTAAAAATAATCAACAACCAAAACAGATTATGTGTAGCAATTATGTAATAAAGCCATAGAAAAAGCTGACAATAAAGATGAATATATATGTCCTTTAAAGTATAAAACACTATCAAAGTGTACTCTTACACTGGAAAGGATCAATATATGGATTGGTATAACGGTGCCCAAAATACTATTTTGTTTTCTCTGAATATGCCTAAGTTTTTTAATTATAAAGAGTTAAAAATTAAATGGCAAAACGTGTTATAATATGCAAATAAGCTGCTTAAGTAAAAACATTAAAATGTTAAATAATTTGTATCAAGGCAAACACATGATGGCCCAGCAATGAGTACCTTGGCAATAGCAGTTTGTTTAAACATGGGAGTAATCAACCCCGTAACAGTCTCAGTGGCAACTAAATTTGAAGATCTCATTAATTTTTTCTACTCTTCAAAGCTGGTATTCAACTCCTTGGCTGCTGCTGACAGAAGATCCAAAGGAATACGCTGATTTTAGGGAGCAGCTGGGTTAAAACTTCAGCCTTTAACCTTCTAATCATTATGTCACTTAATAACTGATGAAGTTCTTTAGGATTTGATGCTCCCCTACAATCACAATGCCTTTTACCAAAACACCTGACATGTGCATTATAGTATCTTTTGGCATAGTCAGTCCAAGTTCCAAATTTTTGTGGAAAGAGAGCATTAATCTGCATAAAAAGCTCTGCAGGCCTTCCCAAAGGTGGAGTTTCTGTAAGAATGGCTTGTTTGGCTTTCTGTACTATTGACAATAAAATCTTGCTGTGACTTGCATTTCCGGACTTCATGTAGTGTGATTCATCCATTATCACTACGTTGAAATTTTGATTATTCCATGTGTCTATCAAAGTTTCCATCTGTCGCTAAAAGATCATAACCCAGAATTGTCACTTTGCTGGTTAATATTCTCCCAGCATCAGTTTTATTCTGAGTAACACTGATTTCTTCTGGACCTAACTCTGGGATCCATTTCTCTATTTCTTCTGTCCAAGGGTACCTCAAAGATAAAGGGACCACTATTAAAAGAGGCCACTCCTTATACAAGTAAGCGATGACAATTTCCTGGATTGCCTTTCCTAGACTCATTTCATCAGCCACCATGCACCTCCAATCTCTTCTAAGGGCAAAAGTGATGCCACCTTTCGGAAAAGGAAGGAGCTTTGCTTTTAGTTTGTCAGGCAAAAAAATCCAGCTGTTTATAAGATTCACTTGTCAAACAGGAAATCTGAGATTAAGAGGCTTTTTTATAGCATGAAGTCTAGGCATGACGATCCCTGCACTCCAGCAAATGTCGGGGCAGAGAGGGCTAGAGATGCCTGAGGAGAAACTGGGGAAGGAGGCCTTGGGGAGAAAACTGAGAGAGTAGTGGGTGGGATCCCAGTGCTGACCCATCCCCCACATGGCAGCAGCCCTCTTGCTTAGGCAGCCACAATATACCAAGTCTTTTGAAAAGGGTCCAGTACTTAAATCAACACTAACAAAGTAGAAAGAGGAATCCAGAAAAAGTCACCAAATTATGAAATAGCCTAATGTCCTAAAGAGGAAAGCTAACTCACCAAATCTCCAGGAGATGAGGCCTCTACATCAACACTGTCCAGAGCCTTCTGCAATTACGATGTGTTCTGGACCTGCACTGTCCAATGATAGCTACCAGTCACACAATGGCTACTGAGCACTTGAAATGTGGCTGACGTCACTGAGAAACTGAATTTTTAGTTTTACTTAATTTCAATCAACTTAAATTTAAATAGCCAAATGTGCCTAATGACTAGCAGACTAGCAAGAATTCACTTAGAGAATAAGAGGATACATTGTTTGAGGGAAAGGCCCAAGTTACAATAAAGTAAAATCTATGTGTTATTCTCATCAAAATAAATAGAAACACAAGGAGAAAGCTCCTCTGCTATGGTCTGAATCACAATGGAAGAAGAAATCTCCGTTATGACAAAGGGAAGGTGGGAAGAGTCAAGCTTATAATCTTGGGTGGTCTAAGAAGGTTGCCTTTTCTTCCTTTTGGATCTTGTAAGATTTTCATAACATAGCCAAATATCAGAGTAAGTATTGCTCTACTCCCAGGACACTCAAACACAATAAAAATGAAATGACAAACCAATTATGCTGATATTTCAGAATAGGTTATGTTTTTAAATTTAGTGAAGTTTCCTGATAGCTGAATTTGATTTTAACTATTTAAAGTATTTGAAGTCTTCACAAAAAGTCATGCTAAATTTATATTATAGATTATAACAATAATCTATAATCTAGAGTATAGATTTTAAAAAGAAATTCAAGTAAGTTTAATATCAATTTTTAATTTTTCCCTAGCAAGCAAAAAGCAAAAACACTCTAATAATTGCTAGTAGAATTAAAAATTGAAGTTTTTATGAAGGGATAAATCTTGCAATATCTACATATGTGCATACTATCCCCTTTAACCTAGAAATTTCACTTTCAGGAATTTATCCTACAGATATACTTGAGTTTGTAAGCTACATGTAAACAAGGATGAATTCATTTTGTTTACACCTGTATCCCTACACATGCCTGCTACATTGCAGGTATTCAATAACCCCGTGCCAAATAACTAAGTAGAATAATTGTGAACTGATGTGTATACAAAATTATTCAGGACAGCACTCTTTAAAGAAAGAAAAAGAACACAAGCAATATAACTGTTTAGTTAAGTAAATTATGGCACATCCATATAATGCAATTCTATTCAATGGTAAAATAAAGACTGAAGATGCTCTTTCCGTTAAGATACAGAATGATTTCAATATACTACCATTAACTTCTTTTAAAAAAATTAGGAATATATATACACACACAAACACACATATAAATACACGCACACACGTGCACGCGCATTTGCTTAGAATCTCTCTAGAAAGATACGTGACATTGGTTGTCTCAAAAGAGAAGAAAACTGGGTGCCAGAGGAAGAGTGAAAGGGAAAGATTACACTGCACATTCTTTTTGTGGGGAAAAAAAATTAAAAGATTGTTAAACTCTAACATTTAATAAACCAAGCATTAACCAAAACATAGCACATGTTTCGCCCCACAAAAGTAAAAAAAATAGAATTAAAGACTCTATTCAACATGGAATGTCATAACTTAAGCTACAGGTGTGCAGATGAGATTGTTCAAAGATGGGGTACTACAGAAAGGAAGAAAGCAAAGGGTGGAACTCAAAAATACTGGTATTTAAAATATGGAAGTACAAGATGTGTTTGCATTTTATGTTATAAGTCAGGGACAGCCATTTAAAATTTTTCTCTTGGTAAACTGAAGTTTTTTCTTTTGATGAATTCCAATATATCCATTTCTTTCTTTTTTCTTTAATTTTATGTCATGTTTATTCTATTACAATTGTTTCAATTTTTCCCCCTTTGCCCATCTCCACCAATTCCACCCCTCCCCTGATTCCACAGTCAATACCCACTCTGTTGTCCATGTCCATGGTCATTCATACATAGTCTCTGGCTAGTCCCTTCCCCTTCTTTCCACCACTGTCCTCCTTCCACATCCCCTCTGGTCACTTTCAGTCTGCACCATGTTTCTGTGCCTGTGGTTTATTTTGTTCGTTAGTTTATTTTGTTGAATAGATTCCACTTATAGGTGAGATCATATGGCATTTGTCTTTCATCAACTGGCTTATTTCACTTAGCATAATATTCTCCAGTTTCATCCATGTTGTCGCAAAACATAGGAGTTCGTTCTTTCTTTCTTTCCTTCTTTCTTTCTTAAATGCAGATTGATTTTATTTATCTTTTTAAATGTCAAAGTCAATTATAAAATATTAAAAAATTTTAAACCATTATAAAGTCTCAGCAATTAAAACATGACACCAGCACAGAAATAATCAAGTATATCAATGAAATATAATGAGCATTCTAGAAATAAATGTATGCATCTAACAATGTAATATATGATTAAATTGATATTTCAAATCAATGGGGAAAA